ACGTCCATGGCTCCGATGCGTGTCACCGCAGGTCAGACGGTCACTCTTGCGAGTGAGACTATGCTGGTCTCTTGGGTTCTCAACCGGTTAAACAAAATTAAAGTTTATATGCACTCTGTGTAAATGTTCACACCGGTTTATCAGTTTGTATTACCAAGTACATTTTTTCAGACTCGTTCTTTATTTCTCGTCTTTTTTGTCCCCCTCCAGGTCCACCTTCCCTGTGATTCCGATTGCGTCTCTCCCACGGTTCTCTCCAATCGTTGAGCGAAATTTGCCAGACATTACTTATTCAATTTCTATGGCATCAGCAAATATGAGACGGTGAATATTTTGTCCATTTATGTTGACGCCTTGAGTACTCTCGTGCAATTGTCAGACCACCATGTGTGTATGTTGAGCTTCTTTCCCGATTTACGTAGCCGACCATGCTAATCGGTGATGCGGTGATAACATCTTCTGCTATCGCCAGTAATAGTTTTATCGAAAGCGTGTCGCCATGTCACCGTATCTGACTCCATTTTAAAATGTGTTTGTTATTTTCTCAAGTGTGGCTGTTCCATTTTTGTGTGAAAAAAATTTGCTAAATATATTTTTAATTAGGCAGGCCCTATCTTGTGACAACTCGGATGAATGCAACTGTTTCCACCGAGTCAACTGTGGTTTTGTTTTTTATTGTGGCCAACAAAGGCCAGCATCGCTCCTCCGCTCGCTCCGAATCTCACGGTTTGTGCCGCGCCTCCTTGGGCTCCGAGTTTAAGAACCAAAATCGGTCACCCGGATTAACTTCCGGGTGACCGCCGGCGGTCCGGTGCTACGGAGGCAAGGATTGGTGGATCCTGCAGATGTGTGCTCAGGCTGAGAGGTGTCCAGGAGATGGGTGTACAGAAAATATATGGTTTCATCATTCAATCATTATCATTCATCATTCATTCAGTGCAAAGTTTTAAGTGGACTTTCCCCAGGTGCTCTGGCACCTCCGATTAGCACAATTGGCTACGTACGGTGCGAAAGAAGCTCAAAATACATCTCTACGTAACACTCATTAATGAGAATTGGTCAAACATATGAATGCAGAAATTGCCAAATCCATCCTGAAAATTAGTCTCAACACTCCGTATGGCTTTCCTTGCCATATTGAAATCACGCTCAGCCCCTTGTAGATTCACCGCTGAATGTCGGCCTCTCAGCATCGTGTTGATCAAGGGCATTATTTGACGATACTTCACTGCGCTGCTCAGCGCATGTTGATGAAGGGGCCAGGGACGATCGTTCACCACCTGCGTGAGCCGTGACCGGGAATGTAAATCGGATATCCACGATCACAGCTCATTCCACCACCTTGCCTCCTCCCTGGACAAATATCAATCATCTCGTTCTTACTTTCCTGTAAGTTATTGCAATAGGTTATGTGTTCTTTTTTATATAATTATGATTAAATTGCTCATTGTGTTGTCTCTGATCCGTGTAACGTTTAAGTTTACGAGCCCGACCCGCGGCCCGCGACGGGAGGGAGCTGCTTGCTGATGCTCGTCTCTGCTGCTGCAGCTTGCTGATGCTCGTCTCTGCTGCAGCTTGCTGATGCTCGTCTCTGCTGCTGCTGCAGCTTGCTGATGCTCGTCTCTGCTGCTGCTGCTTGTTGATGCTCGCCTCTGCTGCTGCTTGCTGATGCTCGTCTCTGCTGCTGCTGCTGCTTGCTGATGCTCGTTTCTGCTGCTGCTGCTGCAGCTTGCTGATGCTCGTCTCTGCTGCTGCAGCTTGCTGATGCTCGTCTCTGCTGCTGCTGCTGCAGCTTGCTGATGCTCGTCTCTGCTGCTGCTGCTTGCTGATGCTCGTCTCTGCTGCTGCTGCTGCAGCTTGCTGATGCTCGTCTCTGCTGCTGCTGCTGCTTGCTGATGCTCGTCTCTGCTGCTGCTTGCTGATGCTCGTCTCTGCTGCTGCTGCTGCTGCAGCTGCTGCTGCTGCTGCTGCACATCGTCTCTGCTGCAGCTCCTCGTCTGATGCCGCCGTAAAACTCAACGCCGTCACCGCATTTTTCTCCGCTCCTCCGCGCACTAAATCTGATTTATTTTTTCTTTTTCGTGATTCATGTCACCGCTTTTGAGTTGCACAAATTTATTCCTTTGTCAAATCTTGCACCGCTGCTTTTGTTTTACGCGCACCCCACCCCCCTCATCTCCCTTCCTCACACCCCCCCCCCCCCCATCATAAGTTACCCAGATCTCTCTTTTAAAAAAAGAGACTTGCCGTTTCAATGTTCTTCAATGTTCAGTAGGCCCTGATCATCATTATCATCAGCCATGGTCCATCCACTGCTGGATGAAGACCCCCCCCACCCTACTAAAGGCTGCTGCCAATCTCCCACAATCCGTGCGACGACGAGAGAGGGGCCCTCGCCTAGGTCAGGTCATTGGTAAAGGAACTCTCGGATCGATGAATCAATCACGGCAACGGATTACGACACAGGCCGTGGTTGGACCTCGCGGCGCGCCTCGGCGAAAGTTTTGTGAAAGCGAACGGACGACGACGATGATGACGATGATGACGGTAAAGATGGTGGTGATGATGACGATGATGGTGGTGGTGATGATGATGATGATAGTGATGATGGTGGTGATGATGGTGGTGGTGATGATGGTAATGATGGTGATGAAGGTGATGAAGGTGATGATGGTGATGATGGGGATGGTGATGATGGTGGTGATGATGATGGTGATGATGATGGTGATGATGGTGGTGATGATGATGGTAATGATGGTGATGATGATGGTGGTGATGATGATGGTGATGATGGTGATGACGGTGATGACGGTGATGATGATGGTGGTGATGATGGTGGTGATGATGATGGTGATAATGATGGTGATGATGATGGTGATGACGGTGCTGATGGTGATACATTGCGACGCATTGGCGGCGCTTCCACCGCCACGCAGAGCGACTGCCCTGCACGCGGCAGCGGCTGCGGGGGGCAGCGACTGCCACGAGGAGGTGGGAGGAGGTGGGGGGAGGTGGGGGGAGATGTCCGCCTGCTATAACGCGTCGCGGACACACCGGGCGAACGAAAAGAAAGAAAAGACGTCCACACCCCCTCCCCACCACCACGGCCAGCCCCCACCCCAGCCCCCCATCCCTCCAGCCCCCCTCGTTTTCGTCTCGTCGGGCGGCGCTTCACGCCGTCCGGTTCTTGGAGACGCGCGGCGGCGAGGGGATGCGGGGCAGGAGCGTCGCTCCGCGAATGAAAGAATCCCAACGTGCGGTGAGAAATGCCAATTTATTTGCGTCATTTCCCCGCCTGATTGCTTGCGGCTCCTCGACGCGGCGATTGTTGGGCGGAAGGGGCCGCGGGGGAGCGGGGAGGGCGAAGAGGGGGGGGGGGTTGAAGGAAGGAAGGATGGGAAGGAGAGGAGGAGGAGGAAGAAGAAGAAAAAAGTACGCGGTTTCCATGGCGACGAGCGGAGTATTCCGCTCACGCAGGCGGCCCGGCGCGTGGGCGGCGGAGCGGCGGCCGCAGCGCGTGAGGGGGCACCAGAAGGCCCCCCCCTCCATCCCCCTCTACCCCCCAACCCACCCCCCTCCACCCCCCCCCACCCACCCCATCCATCCCCCTCCACATCCCCCAACCCCCCCTCCACCCCCCCTCCATCCCCCAACCTACCCCCCCAACCTACCTCCCTCCACCCCCCAGCCACCCCCTCCACCCCTCCACCCCTCAACCCACCCCCTCCACCCTCCACTCCCCCCGCCCCCACCCACCCCCCTCCACTCCCCCCGCCCCCACCCACCCCCTCCACTCCCCCCGCCCCCACCAAGCCTCAACAATTCGCCACCGCCTATTTTCTGTCCGATCGAGTTTCTGTCGCGTAAAATCCAAGCGCGCCGCTCTCCCGCACGAGGAGAGAGACGCGTTCGCGTCGCTCGCTCCCCCTTTCTTTGCTTTTCGACATTCACGCACGGTGGCGTTCGTCGCGTCGCCGCGGGGAGGGGAGTGGTGGGGGGGTTCGATCTCCCCCGGCGCGGCAGCTGAAACACCACCAGGGGGCAAGATTCCGAATGCCCCGAGTCGTTGTGCGTCGATTGGTCGGGCGCTCGGTGTGTGGTGGGCGCATGGGTGTGGGTTGCTCCCACCTCGCCCAAGATGTCCGGGTCCTCTCCCCACACCCCACACCCCAAAATAAACTCTAGAGAAGGTTTCCAGGGCTCCCTCTGGTGGAGGCGCCTCTATCTGTCAGCAGTGACGCGAGCGAGCAGTTTTCAGCGACTGCACTTTTGCCTTTATAGTCGTCTTTAATTTGAACTAAAAAATCAGCAACTTTAAAATGTCATCTGACAGGAGAGTGTCGCCTTATTCAGCGGGGCAAACTCGCTCGACGTTTGAAAAATTATCATCATAATTAGCAGCGGCAACAGCCATGTTCAATCCGCTGCTGCATGATGGCCATCTCTAGTTCGAGAAATGCAGACTATGAAATCAAAAAATGTATTGAAATTCGAGTGCCCGTTTCATTGTCAGCGCTCACAAAATACAGCACAGCGGCAAAGGGGAAACAAACAGAAAAATGCATCTGTCCAAATCATTATTCGCGATCGGCCGCTGAGCAAGGAGGTAATGATGTCGTAAATTCGGACGAGGCCGTAAAATAAAATATCGCGGCGCGAGTCTCGGGCAAAAACACGGCACGCAAAGCTGTTACAGGAAGAAAAAAATACGAAGCGCGCGCCTAATTATCGCGAGATTCCATTTTTCCGCGCGTCGAAAAAAAAACCGGAACAGAACAAACACCCCCCCCAAAACCCTCCCGGCAGAAACGCATCCATAAGTCGGAGCCAATAACGACGTCAAAGTTACGACTGCGACGACGCAATGGACAGCGGCTGCGCACGCGACCGGCTGATCGGCGTTCACAACCGCGGTGTTGCTCGTGAACGCACGGGCGTGACGGCGGAGACAGCACCACGGAGGGGTCGGGGAAGCGGCGAGGGGGCTCGGGGCGCCTTACCTCCAACTTGTTCTCGATGTAGTCCCCCAGGCCGATGACGATGATTCTGCAGATGCTCTGCAAAGGCAGAGACGGGAGGAGGGATGGAAGTTAGCGAGAGGGTCCGCAACGCGAGCAGTGGACGAGAGTTTGGGAGGGGGGGGGGGGTGTTGTGGGGGTGAGAGGGGTGATTTGGGGGGGGTGTAAAGGCAGCGGTTAATGTCCGGGGCTAAGTCCTGGAAAATAATTGCCCAGATGTGCAGTCCAGGGGGGTTTGGGGGGGTAGGGCTCCATACAATGTTCGATGAGAAATGAAGCCCTGTGTGGGTGCATTCAGATGCATTTTAGTCACTGGCATGATCGCGACAATCATCGAGTCTTCATCAGCCCACATGTCCGATCTGCACGGTTGGCTACGTACGGCGCGAAAGTTCAGCAACACGCGTACAACATACGTCACCATCGTACACATGTATCATCACCTGTGTCATCATCGCGAGCTGACACGACCATCGACATTCAGAATCAAGCGGCAACGAATCTTCCAGCTCAATTGAGTAATGGGACAGTGGTCATATCCAGTGGCAGCCGTGAGCCTGTGGGTGGCAATTCCACATTGCCATGACAGGAGCCGGTATTTCTACATGATAACCGCTGTTTGCTACATACAAATTGGTACTCATACAATAACCCCTGAGGTGTAATATACTGAATTGGCATCGTAGAAATAATATTCGAGGTGTTATGATGTATGGGTTCATCGATTAACATCGATCAGGGTCGCTTGTGTAAAAATCGACGGAATGAGATTCGTATGTACATTGCATATAACATGTTTTTTTTTACATTTGCAGCCGTAAGTGGCTGCTACATCACCACGTGTGTTAAAAACAATAAAATCGAATTCGTAAAACCGATTCCCGATGCTGACATTTTTGAAAAGACATCGAATCGCTGTGGAAGGTGGTGGGTAGGGTGAATAGTTTAGTTATCCCCCTCGATTTCAATTTATTCGCATTCATTTATTCATTGTTATAATTATTGCACCACGGCAACAGCTTCAAAAACAAAGCCTTCATTAGCGGACGACCGATTTTAACGGCGACTGCACACGCGCACGCGCACGGGGGCCGCGCGCGCGCGCGTGCATGCGCGTGCATGCGCACAATTGCACCTGCGCGTGCAGGATGCACCTGCGGTGCGGAGGTGTCTCGCTTCGCTTTAATCTCACCGGCCCGCAGGCCGTGGCGCGCTCACGTCGTTGTCTGCCGCTTGGAGCGGGTGGGCTCGTCGTGCTTAAATTAGCAATGCGCTTCTGCTTGCGGATGGAACCGTCGTGATTTGCACATGGATGTCAGTGTAGTTACAACAACAACAAGATTAATAAAAAGCGCGCGCGCCCGTGGCTTATGCAGCGCTTTCCCACGTGCGTTTGTATCCTGAAATAATTGGCAGAGGATAGAACTTTTTGGCGCTCGTTTTGTCTTCGGCAACGCACCTTTACGCTAAAGTTGAATTAATGTTGTAGCAGTGTTTATTCGAGTGATCATGTCACCATGTTACAGGGAGACAGAGAGAGACATAAAGGCCCTTGGAAAGCGTTAATTAACAAGGCAAAGTAGTTGCCTACTCAAATGCGCATGGAACAGCACTCATCTCCTGAGCCTGTGGTGAAAATTCCACATTCCTATGGTCGGAGGCAAGTTTATCCATAAGACAGCTACTGCTGGCATCTCCACACATTGGTACTTATTGTATCAACCCCGGAGGGATGATGGGCTGAGTCGACCCCCAACTGAGATTGTGGGTCAATTACTCCACTATTGCACTACTAGGCTGGACGTATTTATTTTACAAAAATTATGCTTTAATAATATTTTTCTTTTCCTATGCATTCATCAATCAACGCATTATAACTATCATAAACTCACGTAATTTTTACGTAAGCATTTTTAAAAATCCCCGGCTATAATACATCTAATCAGCACGATAGTCTTACATTTTTTTTAAAAAATCCGCTTGTCGTCGTGATTATTATTATGATGATGACCCCTGTTTTATTTTCACCGCTCGATTATTAACGACACAGCGGCGGACGGTCGAAGGCTCCCCGTGAGCGGCGGCGGCGGCGGCCTTTGAGAGACGTGAGCCCCCACGATCGCAATCTCGCTTGCCACGGGGAGGGCTATTTTACTGGTAGGCGGGCAGCCCAACCATGAGAATCGGAGCGAGCGAAGGAGCAATGCTAAAACACTGCCAGCGCAGTTGCCAGGAGTCACGGCTTGTGACCTCCCCTGCCGTCTACCCCCACCCACGAGATCCCAGCCGTAACATTTCAAGCGGTGGAGGAGGAGGAGGAGGAGGAAGGGGAGGAGGAGGAGGAGGAGCAAAAAAAATCATTTGTCATTCAAGCCGCGTCGCACTTGGAGGCACCGCGTGCCTTTCCTTGCAAAGCCGAAGCCGCGGCTCGCTCACATTTTGGAGGGGACGGTGCGCAAAAAACCCCAGGGCGCTCCAGCGGGCGGGATCGACCGAGGGACGCTCGCGATCCCAGAGCAAAACACGAAATGCTCTATAGTAATAGGTTTTTCCCCTTTCAACTGGTACAAAAACTGACACCTTTATACAAGGCATCATGTTTGCAATGACCACAACACAAGCAGTCAAAATGCAAACAAAAAGAAACAACTCTGATGATGATAATGATATGCACTGTCCTTGAAGTTGATTGGTCCACACCCGAGACAGCTTTTCTTAGAGATGCTCTATCGGCGATCCCGCGGAATGCTTTATCGGTTTCCCGGAGATCGACGGTGGCCGAGGTGTGGCGGCCGAAGGGGGTGAAACGCGCCCAACGGCGATGAGATCGACGTGGGGGTTGCGGGAGGAGCGAGGTGCGTCGTCTCTTCGCGGATAAACGTGAGAGACGGTGACGGCTCGCGGCTTCGTCCCGCAGTGGATAGATCACGACTCAGGAGGACGATGACGAACGCTGTTTAATTTGCTGCGATGTGCGTTCTCGAATCCTAAGCTGTACCGAAGTTGGCATGGAAATTAAAATGCAGCACATTAATCAAAGACAAAGACAAAGATCCCCTGTATAGCCTTAACAGACTGTAGGGGCAAGTGCTGTTAGCGAGCACCTATGAAGGCCGGAACGGTACACGAGGGGGTGGGTGGCCAGCACCACGCCCGACCGCCTTTGTCTCCCTAGTGGCGATGTTTACACACCGCACCAGGTACTCATTTGAGGCTGAGTTGACCTAGGGGAGGCCCGGGACCGGTTCAGATAATCGTCACTGGTGTTGGCCGTGAGCGGGAATCGAACTCGTGTCGCCGGGTTCATAGCGCAGCGCGCTAACCGCTACACTACCGCACATTAATCGCACGTAGTGTCACGTGCATTATCTTTTTTTAAGGAGTGGGCTTTTGAGGCAGGGTTGGCGGATCATGCTGAGATCGTTACGTGCGTGATGATCATCCCCGCCTGCTGGGCTACGAAGTCGCTGGCAGCTGGCAGAATGGGACATGAGGTGCCGACCTATTTGTATGGATTTTGTGAGTGGTATCTCTTCATACGCGAGGGTATTTTTCTCTGGGTCTCCTCCCACACCCAATACACTCGATGATGCATCGGTTGAACATTTTAGTGCAGAATCCCTGTGGTAAACACACAATGATACTCGCTGAAACTTTTCTAGATAATAAAACATAATTTGGCGCATTGGGATCTACGGAAGAAATGCGCCTTACAAAATGTAAATTATTATTATGATTATTGTTCTGCCATGCCTCGCCACGCTGGGCATTGTGGGTTGGTAAAGGTGTGCGCCCAGGATCGGCCGAACATAAAACTTGCTGGGTTCATCGCACAGTGCGTTAACCACTGCGCCGGGTGAAACACGTACGTTAGAATGATTTACTATTAAAATGCGAGCCTTACTATTTTCTTTTACACAGGTCTACCTTGAAAGAGAGACACTTCGTCGCAATGGGATCTCAACTTCTAACTATAAATAACCTGCACCTCTGATGGGCACGTTTGACTATGTGCGGTGCGAAAGAAGTTAAATATACATACATATATGAAGATAATTTAGGATTTACAATAGACTTTTTTGGGGGTCAGATTGGGTGAGTAAACTGTGTTGTAAACCCTTCACCACCCGACACGGCTAACTAATAAAGCTGCCACGTGATGAACAAACATGGCCAATGTATTACTGCATCAGCAGCACAACCGGTGTTACGTTGGAGAGCGAGCTCACAACATTTAGCAATGCAATGCGACATTTCGCTTATACAACCAGCACCATCAGGCAGCTGCCAGAATTGTGAAGATGTCCTCCAGTCCTGGACCTTTAATACGTGGTGTGATGTCATCAACGTGCAGCCACAAGGGAGCAGGAAGTGGCAGGCAGTGATACCCAGAGGCGCCACGATGACGAGATGTTAACTACCTCGCCTGGTATGGAGGAGGTTGTGGGTTTCACCCAGATCCTGACGCCTGCTGTACATTTGGAGTTCGTGTGTCTCTATCCCCGTAGTCGCGTGGAAGTTTTCTCACGGGTCTCTCAACATTTAGAATCAATGCGCGTTTAGAGTGTTTGGCTGCTATAAATGTTCACGTGATAAACCACTTAGTTGAGCTATTTTTTGTGGTCAGGATGCTTCTATAAAAAAGTATTTGTTTTAGTTAAAAAGCTAGTCATGTATTTGCATAACTCTACTGTTTGACGTTTTCCTTCAACCCTTGCGTCTCTTGATGTACACCGACCAAGCGATTAGTTTCGCACGTACAACTTTCCCCCATATCCCACCCACTCCGGGGTGAAAGCCTCCCAGCGCCTTAACCATCCCCCGGTCCTGCGCTGCCTCAACCCATCTCGCTGTCTCACACAATCTGATCTCATCGCTCCATCTCCACAGGGGGGCCGCCGTTCTCTAGGATGTGTTCCCCTCATTTTTGACTGCCGTGCCGTCACCGCCAGATTAGTGCACGGGTCGTCGTCCTCGCGAGCAATAGGTCATGACCCAAGCCCTCCGACTCTTTGTTACCAGTCCATATGATGTCTCCAACTTGTCAGGGTCCTCTGATTCGTGCCTCTCCTCGTCCCGTCTCACTGTCATTTACAGATTGCGCCTCTCCACGCTTCCTTGCGCCTAATGTCGGCTCTCATTCCATGACCCTTAAGTCAGAGAGTCCGCGTTCATCAATTCACTATGGCAGGTGAAATGCGCACAGATTCATAAACGTTCTTCGCATCGTTAAAAATGTGATGGTAATTACGCACATTGACATCAGCGGCGCTCTTTAGCGACGTGAACGATGACACGGATCGTCGCACGCGCAACCAGAGCTGCAGGCAGACGGACGGCAGCTGGGGAAGCGACGGCACGGCGGTTAGCACGCCACTCTACGGACCCAGTAGCCAGAGTGGGATTCCCCTGCCACGGCTAACATTAAGAGGCGAGTGCCATCCGCATGGGTCTTCGCCAGCACTGCACTCCGCAGAGTGGCGAAGTATGGTCAAACACCATCCTATGATCAACATGGCTCTGGGGAGGGCCGCAATCCCGCCACGGGATCGACAAAGGTCTGCGTTCATTATCCCGCGCTAAGTTGCGAACAACACCGAGAGCCCGGGGCGAGATCTTTTGGAGCGCGCCCAGTCCTGGATGGCACCTCTCTTGCAACTCCGCAATGGGAGGTTTCCCAACCGCGCTTACCATGCCGAGGAGTGCAGCACCCAGCAAGCCCTTCATTTTAATTAGCCATTAAAGACGAACAAAAATCCCCCCCCCCCCCCCCCCCCCCGTCTTACACAAACCTTCAGCAGCTCCATCATTATCACCAGCCTCACCGGCAGGTCCAAGTCGTTTTTAACACGTGCCGCTTTGAAACTCACACAGCCCTTAATAAAAAAAAAACATGTATTTATAATGACTCATTCGAAGGGATATTCAATAGCTCGTGGAAAAGGCTTGAAAGTGATCTACCGCCGAAAGGCGTCAGCGATGCGTCCGAGGTCTAACGAGAGCACTGCTGGCTGAGCAAAACTGCAGGGAAAGAACAACCCCCCCCCAAAAAAAAAAACTTGCCCCACTCCGTCAAACGGCGCGGCTGCTCTGCGCGAGATAAAGTGCAACGTTGTCGCAAAAATAAAGAGACAGAGAGAGAGAGAGAGCGGTGGGGTTGGGGGACGGCGACTGTCGGCTGCGACGCTATCTCGCCCGGAGCGAGATACCTAGGTGCAGGGGATATCAGTCTGTGCCGCGCGGTCCAACGCGACGCCGAATCGGGCTCCCCCCCCCCCCCCCCCCATCAGACACCTGTTCCCATGTCCGTCTCCCGATGGTTATCGGCTGCGCGGAAGATAGAGGGGGAGCCGGAGGATCGCTCGTGCGGGGGGTCGTCGTTGTCGACGAGGGGACGGTGGTGGTGGGATGAGGGGGGGGGCAGTGGAGGGGGGGGGATGGAGGAAGGGACGGTGGCATTCGTCATTCTGCGCGTTTACCTCCACGAAGAAGACGGTGAGGATGAGAAAGCTGATCCAGTGCATCACTGCCGCGGTGTCGACGGCATTTCTGACTGCGGGGAGGGAAGAGGGGAGAGGAGTAAGGTGAGATGGGGGGTGGGGGCGCAGGAGGTCTTGGAAGAGAACAGATGCCGAACGACACGTGGTACAACCCGACTTTTTCAAAATTCTTATTTAGATCCGATTGGCGCGGTTGTGCTCGACGTACGGTGCGAAAGAAGTTCAACACACGCAAGGGTTTTGTGCGGTCAGACTTTTGGTCGCGAGCTGTGGCAAACGTTCTTTGGGAATTTTTCCGGGTGAGCAGAGTGAGATCGTTTGTTGAAGTCGTAGAAGGAGGAGGACGAGAAGGGCTTCCCCTCTGCCCCACAGAAGTTGACATCACGAAGCAAAATGTGATGGTCACTTCAATAAATGTATCTCTTCCAAAAAACGCGACATAGGCACTTGTTTATTATACCCTGAGTACTTGTCATCAAAGTGTATTGTTCTTCCGTCTGTGATTGGAGCCAGATTTCTAATGAATGATTAATTCATGCACATTAACAAGTCCATTGTATCCCCATCATCCTGATCACAAACCGCTCGGACGATTCAGCCAGCCTTAGAAAATAATAAAGTTATCGCGCTGTCTGGCTTCACCGTAAATCCACGTGGACAAGTAATTTCTTCGCATGTACATTGCATGTGTACGCGTAGAAACATTGCCATCGCAAAATGATAGATATGCTGACGACGTAATGTTTTTGTTACCTTTAAAAATGTGGGGATTTTGCTTTTTGCGTGCCCATTGGTGACTGAGCTGATAATGGAGACTCGCTACACCTGAGAATCTTGTTTAAGCGTGGGCAGGTGACCCGATTTGAGCCCGATATGCAGACAGAATGTTATATATATACTGTATATACAATGCACTTATCGTAGCCTCAATGCCGCAGGTCACATTCCTTTAATAGTTTAATAATGTGCATTAAAATATATTTTAGAGCGATGCGTACATTATTCAGAGCCACAAGCAGCAGCTCATGTAAGGATCGAATCTGTACAACGCATTATTATTGTTATAAAGAGGCTAACATACAACAACAAGAACAAAAATAATACACAGCAATACATGATTACGAGCCAGACGTGTCTTTAAGCCACAAAAAATATCCATAAAAATGCAACAGAAGCGTTGTAATGAGGCTAACGAATGGAGACACAAATTAGCCTCTTCTTGCGCAGAATGCGCGAGAGTACATTACCGCATTGAAGAAGAGCACACGCAGCTTTGATGGACGTGACGTGCACACGGGTGCTTACGTGGCAATGACCAAATCCATTACGAAGAATGTGCACCGAAAGTAAAAGAAAAACCATTGAAATTTCGCTCGTCAAAAGAAAAATCCCGCCAGGTCAGCCAGCGGCGGAGTGAGCGGCTCGCGATCGGAGGGTTGACCCGGCCCCATCATGCCTGTGGTGTTGATAAAATGGGTACCGCTTTGTCAGGGAAGTCAACAGTTATATTCGCCCCTGTCATCGGAATGAGAAATTTCCAGCACAGGCTCAGCCAAAGCTTTGAACGGGGGAATGGAGCAACAATGCCTAAATGCGCATTTGAGGAGAAAATCCATGTGGCTTCTTGGCTCGTCAACATGTGGCCGAGTTGACAAAGTGACCTTTGCAGCTCCATTGCACAAACAGCATTCTGCATCTCCGCGTGTCAATCTAAGAATCCGTTTAGTCAAACAGCCTATTGGCTTTCGAGACCCACATTATCAATACTATCAAGAAGCATGTGTTTAAGCAAGCGAATTCTGAACTGGTTTCAACCTTCTGGGTCTCATCAGCAGAGTCAAGCTTGTTAAACAAATGACAATGGATTGCCACACGTTATTGGCAAGACCGCTCCATATAAATGGACCCCAATTGGGGCAAACAGTAAACGTGAATATCATTTTGCTGCTGTTGTTGCACCAATAACGACTTTTTGCCATCACAACCAGAAGCTGTGAGAGAAGAGCTTAGGTTTCTGGTCAATTATTCAACTTATTTAAGGTCGAGGGCTCATCATGGCCAATTCCGTTGATGCCACTCCACGCCTCTCCATAGCTGTCGTCCTTTTGCTAGATGTTACATTAAAACTATTACCTATTTTTATTTTACAAGATAAGGCCCACTCAGCAATATAGCTCTCTTTGGAAGCTACCTAGCTGTCACAAATGCTAGCTCAACGAAGTGGCTCGTCACGTGGAAATGTATAGTAGCCATGAGATCTGTTTTGACCCAGGCCATAAAATAACACAGTTCGTAGCTTAAGAAGTCCCTGGCAAGGTGGCTCGCGCACTGCGCTGTGAACCCGCCCGCCTGGGTTCAATTCTCGGCCAAGGTTGAGTAACATCTTGAGCTGATTCCAGGCCTGCTCAAACAATCCCCTTGACTGACACGGCATGGGGAAACCTCTCGTCCAGCAGTGGATTAACAAAGGGCTGTAAAAAAAAAAAAATTATTAAACGTATTGTTATTATGTTTACACTGTCACTATCATTCTTTGGAGACAACCATCGATTTAATCAGCAATTTAACGAAGATGAAAAAAGGCGCTTGGATTTTTTTAATCACAAAAGTAATGATTACGTGTCACCGAGTGATGGTGGCAAAGATTAGAAGATATATTTTTTACTGGTGTGGCTGAGCTGGAGAAGCATTCCTATTGAACTTCCGAACGAATGGATATGTTTTATGGCCCCTTCCCTATGAAGCCATGAGATGTGTTTTGGGCCAGGCCATTTTTATACCTGTCACTGGAAAAGTAATTTAGCGCTGTGCATTTTTGTACAAAAAAAAACGTCTATTTTTATTTTGTTGTCGTGGCTTGCGGGGGTTAGGGGAAGGGGGAGAAGGCGAAACAAAACAAAATCTGGGGAGCTGGATATAGACCACGGCCCCTGGTGAACATCAACAGAGTGGGGACGAGCTGCTGCTGATGCTACTGCTGATGTTACTGCTGATGCTGCTGTGCGTTCAGCTTAATCTGCAGTTGCCGTTACTTTGCTGCTGCTACTACTGCTGTTGCGACTGTTTCTGATGCTACTTCTGCCACTGCAGCTAATACTGCTGCCGCTGATACTGCAGCCGCTGCTGCCGCTAACTTCCCTGCTATTGCTGCTACTGTTGGCTACTGTTGCTGCTGTCTGTTGCTGTCGCTGCTGCTGCTACTTCTTCTGATGCCACTTCTGCAGCTACTCATGCTGCTGCTGCTACTGCATTACGCGTTGGGTCAGCAATACTCCGTCGTATGCACGCTGTCAGTCTGCAGCCTTTAACGGAGGTGGTTTGCGTTGGCGTGCCGCTGCTTAGTATGTCAGTCAGGAGGGTTCTCTCCACACTGCCGGTTCGTTCACAATGGTCTCCGTTCCTCGCCTGCGACTAATCAAACACTCCCCCCCCCCCCTTCGCTTTCTGTCGAGGCGCAGAGGGAAAAAGATGAAAAGCCAAGATGAAAGTCAAGAGACCGGTTTGCGCCACGTACAATGTATATAATAACAACAACAAAACATTGCATCATAAAAATACACAGCCACACACACCACGCACGTAGGCACGCACACACATCGGAGAGCGAGAGATCAAACTGAATGTAATCTCGAAATGGAAAACCATTTGACGACGCACATCGCAAAGGCAAAAGCTCACTCTGAATTTTATGTCGGAGACGAATTCAAACGGGCAGGAATATCGCAATGAACGGCCCTCGTACACTGTGTGCCTCCGGGGGGGGGGGGGGGGGAGCAGGGTGGTGTGAGATTAATCTGGTCAGCTACTACTATCTCTTGGGCGTTTCGAAGAAAAGACGCCATTGCAGTGATGAGAGGGATGCAGATATCAGGGGTGCGGCTATTGGCAGAGATAGGTTCCGGCTATCAATGCTGATGATTCGGGATCCGGGGTCTAGGGGTTCCTCAATGAATCGCGTGCCAGGAACCATCTCCTCCTTACCCCCCGACCCACCCCGGTCCGCTCGTAGAGATCTCTGCAGAGCGGCACAGCGGAAGAGCGCCTGTCCATGACTCTGGATCGTAATTCTGCACGGTCACTCTGGATCACCGCTTTCGCCCATTACTCTGGATCCTAACTCTACACGGTCACTCCGAATCTCTGCTCTAGCCCGTTACGCCGGATCGTAACTCTGCAAACATTGCCAAGTGCGGGCCGGGATTTGGGGGGGGGTGTTGGCTAAGTGAGCGGTTGGCCACCTCCACCGTGGCACGTGCGCTGGAGGTTGCGGAAGTGGTGGCGGCAGTCGCGGTAGTGGCAGTAGGAAAAGGGGGGGGGAGAGTTACTCACACTGCAGGATTCGAACGTCGATCAGGAGCTCGAAGGTGAGCAGCAGAATTACCAGAACCACCGCTGCCACGAGGAAGCAGTTGAGGCGGTAGCTGAGGAGCATCATGTGCCAGAGCTGGGCTCCTCGTCGGCCACAGCAGGGCCGGGGCCACGTGGGGCTTCGAGTGGAAGGGGTCACGGGGGTCACGGGGGTCACGGGGGTCACGGTTGGACGGTTGGTGGTGGTGGTGGTCATGTAAGGGGTTGGGGGTGGAGGTTGGTGGGGGTGGGGTGGTCATGTAGCGGGGGTCGTGGCAAAGGTCATGGGTCATGCGATCGATCGAGTGGCCACGGATGCCGCGGGAGACCAAGAGGAGATGGGAGAACCCCCCCCCCCCCACGGTTGGAGGAAATGCGAAGTTGTTTTAAAAAAAATGAATGAAGACCATCGAAGGATGGAATGCGTCGAGTGATCGGTGTCACGAGCAGAATGGGGTGCACAAGGTAGTACAATGGGAATATTGGAACAATAACAATGGGATGCACAAGGTAGAACAATGGGAATATTGGAACAATAACAATGGGATGCACAAGGTATAACAATGGGAATATTGGAACAATAACAATAGGGTGAACAAGGTAGTACAATGGGAACATAAAAATAATAACAATCATTAAAATTATGATGATTTTTAATGAGTATTATTGGTCACGAAGAAACATTGTATCATATGGTGGGAGGGTGAAATACACATATCAGAAGCTCTCCGAAAAGAGTCCGGATATTTATGACAATTGACACCACGGGCGAGCATGCGCGATTGTTTCAAAACACAAGAGGATGCGATGTTTTCATTCACGGGCATCGAGCAAACCATTTCAGAGCAAATGCGAAAACACCATGAATGTTTTATGGAAGGGTTAATACAGAGAGAGAGGAATGGAGAGAAAAGGAAGAAAAAATTAAAGAAAAACACAGAGGGGAAAGAAACAGGGAGTCAAATCAATGCTGACATCAAAGTTGTCAACGCGAGTGCAATTCTTCAGCAGCTGCACAAAGTCACCAGGAAGTTACAAAACCAGAAATAACTCCCTCCACCCGCGCCCCTCACCATGCCCCCCCCCCCCCCCCCCTCTGGAGCAGCAGCGTGTGAGGGACAGGCCCCGGGTGCAGCGGTTGATTCAGTGGTCAATGTGAGTGCGCGGAGAGGAAGCATGAATCTCCGCGATCCTGCAGATAAAATCCCAGGAAACCACCGCCGCCGAACTCCCCCCACCTCCTCCCCCTCCCCTAGGCATCACTCAGAAATACTCGGCACAGCAACTCACGGCCACGTGGCGGTGGCGGCGGCGGTGATGGGGCAAGTGTACGAGCAGACCTTGGAGGTGATGGATGGACAGGTGTGGCGTCATCGATGGCATTGACTGCGGTGACCTGTTTGACCTTGGTCGTGACACAAAGCACAAAGACTGACTGATTCCTCCTCCCGACAAACCTGCATCAGCCCTCACCGCTGTCAAGAGAGCAACATTCAATGTCACGGCCAAGGTCGCGAGGTTATACGAACAACGCTGCCACCGCCGCCGCCACCAACTCCTCGACGTTACTTGCTTCCTTCGGCTAGATTATGAAACCACGGCCCATTTTGACGTTTGACCCGGAGGCTCTTCGCTTATAGAGCATCGCACCTTTGCGCCGAGGTCTTCCCCTAGGTTCCCTGATCCATGTGTGTCCTCCGCGATGCCTGCCTATAACGTCTTTGTCGTGCTAATAATAACAGCGGCTCATCTCGCTGGGGGTCGATAAAATTAGCACCGCTTGGTGGCGAGTCAAAAGCGGTTGCCGCACGGAACAGGACAGAAATGTGTAATTTCCACCATGTGTAATTTCCACCACTGGCTCAGGCCAGCAGTGACGACGAGAGCCACTCCGTGGTTCATTCATTTGCTTTGATTGCCAGAACTCGTCGGGAGTACGACGGCACTCTTCAAGGTGTTACCTTGTGACCCCCCCCCCCCCACAGCATCGGGTGGCTGGGGATTGTGAAAATGTGGCGAATCTCATTGAATCGCAATGCAACAGGGAGAAATTTATTAAGGAACAATGAATAGATTCATTTCCGTGTAATGCCCGTCCACAGGAAGCTCGTGCGTTCAGGCGCTACATAAATCCGAGTTGTAATTGTATTTTAATGCATTTTACTCTTACATTAAAATAGAAGAGGACAAAAAAAAGAAGCCCCAACAGCATTTAAGCCACAGTCAGCAATTATAACTCTGCCAAATGATGCCACCAGGGAATGTTGGAGGCTGGCCATGAGCACAAAAGGCCAATTTACAGCATATGCAGAAAAAAAAAGATATATTGCCAACGAGGAATCAAAGTATCACAAAGCCAAATACGTGGTCATGATCCCGTCTATAAAATAAAAAAATATATGTTATTCTTGTGCTTTTTTCAGTTTTTTGTTTGTCTGTGTGTGTGTGGAAGGTATAAGTGGGGAGCGGTAGTGTACCATTTAGCACGCTGCGCTACAAATCCGGCGGACCGGGTTCACAGCCAACACCAGTGACGATTATCTGAACCGGTCTTGGGCCTCCCCTAGGTCGACTCAGCTTCAAATGAGTACCTGGTGTGAAGTGTAAACATAGCCACGCGGGAGACAAAGGCGGCCGGGCGTGGCGTTGGCCAACCACCCCCTTTTGTGCCGTGCCGGCATTCATAGATGCTCGCCAACAGCACTTGCCCCAACTGTCTGTTCAGGTTATACGGGGGATCTTTGTACTTGGTGTCAACGTGAAGGGTGTGCGACTCACCCACGCGTGGGCCCCTCCCGCCGACCAACCAGCGCAGTGGCTCTGATCCCGCGAGCCGCGGGTCAAAGCGTCCACCCTTTGCTCTGCCCCCAACACACCCGCCGACGCGATGGTCAATCTAATCGGGTGCTCGATTAATTTTGCCAACAATCCGTGTTTTTACGATTGCCCAGACCGGGGTGGGAAATGATTGCATTCATCGCGGAGATAATGGGCACTTCCCTTCACTCGCTTACGCCTTATTTAAACCGCTCGGTTCGTGTTTATTTTAATCCCCCTCGTGTTTGCCGTGAGTAAAAAAAAATTAAGCCCCCTTACAAGAATAGAATTGTGTGATGCGGCCCTGTGAATGCAAAGTGATTTATGGTTTAGTTATGTTGCAATCTTGACAGCAAAGCTTATTAGGCAGTCGCCCTGAAAATATGCCACGTATAAAAATGTTTATCGTATCAGAGGGAAAATGGTTTGCAGCGGTGCTCGGACGGCGGAAGATTTAATCAGAATGACGTAAATACAAATACGCCGAAAGAGCACGCGTGGGCCTGGCTTGCGGGCCGTTAGGCGTGAAAACACGATCAATCTTCACTTGGCGCGGGCACATCGCTGATCCATCAGTGGCGTTGGTCGTGGCCGGGTGGCCGGAGGGGCGAAGGGGGGGCGGGAGCGGAGGGGGGGGGGTGCCTCTGCCAAAGGTGCGCGACAAAAAAATTGTCTGGGGGGGGGCGGTTGCGGCTGAAGTTTAACGGCGAAGCGAGCGACATGGCGGTCGCGTCGTCGCCGTCTCTCGGCCAAACGCACCGCGTCCCCACCGCCGCACGACGCCGGCATCGTCACTGGCACTGGCCGACGGAGGGATGACACTTAATTACGAGAGCGCAGCGGCGGCGGCGGCGGTGGTGGCGGTGTGCTCGAGCCCTCCCCAAAGCAGATCAGGCCGCTCTCTATCCCTGCAGCTATGAAATAGAGGGCGGTGAACTTTGAACCCTGAGGGAAATGATTGCGCGGCCGAGAGGGCTCGGCGGGCTCCTCTCGGCTGTAATTCTCCCCTTTTTTAAGGCGTGTTTGCGTTTGTTAAGCAAGGCGCTCGTCGATCGGGAGTGAGCAGCGGGCGGGCGAGCGGGCGGGTTAATCGGAGCGTTCGTCGACAGCCGTGGCGAGAAACGAGGATGCGGAGAATTAAACCGAACCTGAGGGCAGCGCCGAGCAAGCGGAGCAGAGCGCGACACTGCAAATCATCCAATCTTGCAAATATCTACTGCCCCCCCCGTGCCCCTCCCCTAACCACCCACCCACCTCGCCACGCACACTGACAGCGGCGACGCTGTCGTTCCAGCGGCCTCCGACAAATCACTTCACTGCCGAACGGCCACGGATGGGATCTATGCCAATTTTTCAGAACATTAAAAAGGACATTGTTTGCCAAAAAGGTCAGGAATAAAAAAACTAAAATTGAGTACGGAGGACTATTCATCCGAGACCTCTCTGGCGCGTGCCGCCAATAAACGGGATGCTGAGGTGATACAAAAATAAATAATAAACCACGACACGGTACTACATGCTAATGTTGCTGTTGTTTATGAAACAAAAATGCAAATAAGAAAAGTATTGAGCGCACGACATCGGTGATCACTTCACTGACTGCTGCAATATGACAACGAGAAGATGACTGCCCGAAGATTGTCAGTGATGTTGATGACAGTGAGAAGATTGTCATTGATGTTGATGACAACTTGATGATTGTCATTGATGTTGATGACATTCAGAAGATTGTCATTGATGTTGATGACAGTTAGAAGATTGTCATTGATGTTGATGACAACTTGAAGATTGTCATTGATGTTGATGACAGTTAGAAGATTGTCATTGATGTTGATGACAGTTAGAAGATTGTCATTGATGTTGATGACAACTTGAAGATTATCATTGATGTTGATGACAGTTAGAAGATTGTCATTGATGTTGATGACAGTTAGAAGATTGTCATTGATGTTGATGACAACTTGAAGATTGTCATTGATGTTGATGACAGTAAGAAGATTGTCATTGATGTTGATGACAGTTAGAAGATTGTCATTGATGTTGATGACAACTTGAAGATTGTCATTGATGTTGATGACAGTTAGAAGATTATCATTAATGTTGATGACAACTGGAAGATTGTCATTGATGTTGCTGACAACTTGAAGATTGTCATTGATGTTGATGACAGTTAGAAGATTGTCATTGATGTTGATGACAGTTAGAAGATTGTCAGTTATGTTGATGACAGTTAGAAGATTATCATTGATGTTGATGACAACTTGAAGATTGTCATTGATGTTGATGACAACTTGAAGATTGTCATTGATGTTGATGACAACTT